ACTGAAGAGGCATCATAGATTCTCAGCCTTTTAGAGTTGAAAAGGATCTTTGATTGCACGTAATCAAACCTCTTATTTAGCTGATGAGAAATTTGAGGTACAGAAAGGTTAATTTATGTCCCACAGCTCAATAATGGCTCAGTTATTCCACATTCAAGTTAATGGTTCTTTTCACAGGACCGAGGAGACTTTTGCAGTAAGTTCCCTTACTGTAGTTCCCTGGCTCCTCGGCTTCGGAGGAGGGAAGAGCCAATTGTGTTGCCTGGGCTCACTGTAAGAAAAGGAAGTTACCCTTTAGAAGTGCAGCTTGCTGGACTTTCTTTATACATGTCTCTGGAAAAAAAGAATTTTACTGCATTTCAATAGACACTTTCAACTTTGGTTTTGAAATTACAGAGTTTATTTAAAAATGGGAGTCAAAACGGGATGATAGTGTAGCTTAGTGGAGGGTTTATAGATGAGGGCACACACACACACACATACACGCACACACACACTCACACTCACATTGAAAAGGAAATATACTTTCTCATAAAAATAGCTCCTTTTGTGGGTTGGAGGTGAGAGCATTGTTGTTAGGAAAAGGATTTCATTTTAAAAATATCCTGTTACTAGCCAGGCATGGCCACCATGTCTGTAATTCTAGTATTTGGTGCCTCAAAGCCAGAGAATCAGGAGTTCAAATCCAGACTTGGTTGCATAGAGAATTCGAGGCCCATCTGGGCTCTATGAGATCCTGTGTAAAACAAACAACACCTCTAGCAAAATGTCCTCATGTGAGTGAGTGAGTACATGCCTGAGTTCTTGTATGAGTGTGCGTGCATGTGTGTGTGTGCCTTTTTGTTTTTGTGGATAGTTGGGGTGCAACTCAGGGCTTCTCACATGCTAATGAACACTTAAGCGGTAAGCCAGTTTCCAGTTTAAAATACCCCATTTTTATTTTGCTAAGCTTAATGGATCAATCCGATGTCTCTAGTAAGACTCGACCTTCCATCCCATTTAAAGTAAAATAGACTTTTTTTTAAAAAGGGAAAGTAAATAGAAATTTCTGTGAAGTCGTGGGCCATTCTTATGTTTAATAGTCTTCCCCCAGAACTATCTATTTCCGTAGTGGCTAAGAGCTGACTGCATGGTGATTTATTCTTGCCTCAGCGGCTACATGCTGTGAAAAGATCGTATTGTGTTAGGATTATTTCTACTGGGTTCTGTTGATTACACCTTTCAAATATTTCTTGAGCTTGTTTTCTTTATGTCTTCTCCACGGCTTTAGTTTTACCCCTTACCCGTTGCCTGCCCGCATGCTCTTGTTGACAGTCTGCTCCTGTTGGTCAGCTTCCCAAAGCTGTGACAAAATACTTGAGAAAGCCGGGCGGTGGTGGCGCACGCCTTTAATCCCAGCACTCGGGAGGCAGAGGCAGGCAGATCTCTGTAAGTTCGAGACCAGCCTGCTCTACAACAGCTAGTTCCAGGACAGGCTCCAAAACCACAGAGAAACCCTGTCTTGAAAAAAAAAATACTTGAGAAAAACAAACAAAACAAATGGCAGGAAGTGTCCTTTTGGCTCCTGGCTTCATAGTGTGTGGTGAAGAAGTAGAGGCCGGAGGTTGTCACCATCATTCTCAGGTCTTCTCCACCTTATTCAATGAGTCAAGGTCCCTCAAATAAACCCGGAGCTCTGCAGTGCGGCTCACTGTGCCAGCCTGCTTGCTCTGTGTCCCCCTTTCTCCACTTTCCACGGTTCCATGGGTGGGATTATGGGCAGGCTGCCCTTCCTGCCCGGCATTTATGCTGGTTCTGGGGATCCGAACTCCAGCCCTCATGTTTAGCATCCAAGCCATCTCCACAGCCCTTGATTTAATTGTTTTCTACTGTCTCATCACTAATGTTCACTCTTACTCCTTGGTCTTGTATCTTTATATTTGCTAGTAGCACAGACACTGAGAGAAACAACTAATAAATGGAACCTTCTGAAACTAAGAAGGACATGGTCAACAAGATAAAAGCCTACAGAATGGGAAAAGATCTTCACTAACCCCACATCAGACAGGTCTGATCTCCAAAATATACAAAGAACTCAAGAAATTGGTCATCAAAGGAACAGATAATCCAATAAAAAATGGGGTACAGACCTAAACCAAGAACTCTCAACAGAGGATTATAAAATGGCTGAAAGACACGGAAAGATTCAACATCCTTAGTCATTAGAGAAATGCGAATCAAATCAACTCTGAGATTCCATCTTACACTTATAAGAGTGGCCAAGATCAAAAACACTGATGACAACTTATGTTGGAGAGGATGTGGGGTAAAGGGTACATACACTTTCTTCATTGCTGGTGGGAGTGCAAACTGGTACAGCTGTTTTGGATTTCAGTATGACGACCTCTCAGAAAATTAGGAAATAACCTTCCTCAAGACCCAGCAATACCACTTTTGGGTATATACCCAAAGGATGTTCAATCATACCACAAGGACATTTGCTCAACTATGTTCATAGCAGCATTGTTTGTCATAGCCAGATCCTGGAAACAACCTAAATGCCCCTCAACCAAAGAATGGATAAGGAAAATGTGGTACATTTACACAATGTAGTACTACACAGCAGAAAAGAATAATGACATCTTGAAACTTGAGGGCTAATGGATGGATCTGGAAAACATCATATTGAGTGAGGTAACCCAGACCCAGAAAGACAAATGTCATATGTCCTCACTCATAAGTGGCTTTTAGACATAAAGCAAAAACAAACAAACAAAAACAAAAAAGCCCAGCCTACAAGTCACAATCCCAGAGAACCTAGACAAAAATGAGGACTGTAAGAGAGACTTATATGGATCTAACGTACATGGGAAGTAGAAAAAGACAAAATCTCCTGAGTAAATTGGGAGCACAGGGGCCATGGAAGAGGGTAGAAGGGTGGGGGTGCAGAGAAAAATACATAGCTTGATAAAAACAATAAAAAACCCCCAAACCCATAAGCCTCTGTGCTTAGAGAATATTGAATGGAAAAGATAATCCAGTTGTTTGGAGGTGCCTTATATCTTTGATTGCCATCCTCTTTGCTTATTCATGAGCAAGATGCCTAGATCGCTATTTAATAAACCACTTAAGGTGGTCTTATACTCTCCAGTCTAAAGCAAACATTTTCATCCTTTGTATTTTGTTCGGGAAATAGCCTGGGCTCCTTCCAACAGTGTTTGGTGCAACAGGTGGGTAAAGAAATAAGCACAGAATTAAATTCCAGTGTTGGGTGCTTGGCACAGCATCTTCCTAGTGACTGGAGCTGTTTTCACACTTTCTTGCCATTGCACAAAGGATTCACCCCACACTTGCACACATACACACACATCAAACAATTACTGTTTTTATTCTAATTTTTTTTTAATTGAAAATAGATTCTTCTCTCCTACATCTGGACCACAGTTCCCCCTCCCTCCATTCCTCCCAGTTCCTCCCCACCTCCCCCTTCTACCAGATCTGCTTCGCCTTCGTTTCTCAGATTCACACTCTTGTACGAACTTACAGCTGCTCCGAGATCTGTTCTCTAGGAAAGAAATGTTAATAGTACTAGAGACAGGCACATGTGCATGCGGTGTTAAGGAGGTGATCTTCTTGGACCGCTTGCTATCATGTGAGCTACACATTATTCCGCTGCTAGTCATACATGTATCGTGTTCCTTGTAGTTTAGCCTTTTTCTTTGCTTTAGTTTTTGCCTCTATGTGAAATATATTATATACATATATAAATTTTAAAATTTATCTGTAATGCAATATGTAAGTATATAAATTGAAAAAATCTTAGAGAGGACACACGTGTCCCAGTCTGGCCTTGAACTTGCTATGAAGCCAAGGACGACCTTGAGTCTCTGATTCTCTTACTTTCCCTCACAAGTGCTGAGTGCTGGGATTCCAGACATGTGCCATCACCTCTGGTCTATGTGGTACTGGAGATCAAACCTAAAGCTTCCTGACCCTAGGCAACCACTCTCCCAACTGAGTTACATTCTTAGCCCCAAATAAATAATGATTTAAGAATGCAGCTAGGTCAGTAGCAGGGGTGAGGACCAAGAAGGGGAGGGGAAGAGGGGGAGTGGTGCCAGCCTTTGATTCCAGGAGACAGAGATGGGAGGATCTTAGAGGGAGTTCCAGGCCAGCCTGGTCTATAGAGGGAGTTCCAGGCCAGCCTGGTCTATAGAGGGAGTTCCAGGCCAGCCAGGTCTATAGAGGGAGTGAGTTCCAGGCCAGCCTGGTCTATAGAGGGAGTGAGTTCCAGGCCAGCCTGGTCTATAGAGGGAGTGAGTTCCAGGCCAGCCAGGGCTACACAGAGACCCTGCTCCATGGCTGTGCTCTACCAGAGCTGAGCATGCTGGCCTTTTTTAATATTGCTCCCGGTGTCCATGGTCTCTGGCATAAATGAACAATGTTGTAGGATTCTGTGGGACCTGCCTTAATATTATCTTTTTCTCTTCTCAGACATAACAGAATGTAAGTGCGGGGTGGCAAGGCTATTGTATGATGGGGGAATTCTTACTTGTTTCTAATTTGTGAAAATAAGCAAACCTGTGCGCCGTTGTTTTAATAACTGTTCTCAGTCTCACTGTGAGGAGGATGACTTTTTACCGAGTCAGGAATGCCTGGGGGTGCTGAGGTGAGTTTGCAATGTCACATCCCCAAGGGAGAGAAGGCTCGCTAGCTGATATCAGCATGGCGGATTGGTACTTAGATTGTACTTGGCGAAAAATGTGTCCATGTTAGTGGCGCTAATGACCTCTAGAAAACAGCTAGTTTCCTTTGCTACTGATGCTATGTAGAGAGCTGATGTGCCGCCATTTGCCCTAACTCTGGTGTTTCCAGCTGGCAACTGCCCTACCCTGCTTCTGAAATGTTGCAATGAGCTGGTGGCCACTCTGCTCGGGTTCTGTTATTTTAGGAGAGTTAAATGAGTTGATATGATTAATCTGTATAAAGTACTCTGATCTTTTGGTTTTGGTTGTCTGTAGGTAACCTGCTGCAGGATGAACTAAGGGAAGAGGACATATACTCGTAAGCGTGGAGAAACATTTGGCAGTTTCCAAGATGCAAAACTCATCCTCTTCATTGGAAAAGAAAACCAGCCCAGCAAATGGGAATGGGGATCTTGATTCAGGTAGGATTCTACATATTTGGTTTTTTTTTCTTTAATGAAAATTTGGCTCATTGACCAGTATTTTCTTGAGATGTTCAGGAACAATGGGGGTGCATTTTTAGAACTTCTCTGCCACCAGTTCTTGGCCTTTGCTGTCCTAGCCAAGCCATATATCTACAGATACGGCAGCTTTCAAGTTATGAAGAGTTTGGACCAATATTAATAGCGATCATACACACAGAGCGGGCTAGGTTACAGCATGGCAACACAGTACTTCTAAGTCTCGGTGTCTTTTGCTAGTAAATGTCTGTGAGTATCTGTGCTGTCTCAACAGCTGTCATGGTACTCTCATACTTAGTGACTGTACCATCCCTCAGTGCTGCACTCAGCAGTGTTAGGGTAGTTTCTCTAGGAAGAGAAGAGCTGGGGGATAAGACATCACTGACACACCCTCCAAGGTACTGAGCATGGTTGGTCATGCGCATTTATGTCATGTAATTGGATAAAACAAAGCAGAACAAAACAAGAAAACAAAACCAGATTGTGGGTTTGATTGGATTTTAATATTTAACGAATTTATAAATGCATCTCTAAAAATATTTATGCAATGGTATATTTTTAAAAGATACTTTTCCCCCCTGAAAATAGAATTGCATGATTTATACATCAGCAAATTAAATAAGGGCAAGGGAGCCCTATGAATCATTAATGTTTGCTACAGTGAATTCACACAAAAAGCTTCCCGTTAACTTAGGGGAAGAGGTGGCCATTGTCTAATGAAATTAGCAAGTTTGTCTTCACTTTAAAATAATGGAGAGAGAGAGAGAGAGAGAGAGAGAGAGAGAGAGAGAGAGAGAGAGAGAGAGAGACTGTGTTCACTCATATGCCATGTGTTCATGTAAAGGTAATAGCCAGAGGACAGCTTGGAGGAGGCAGGTCTCTCCTACCATGTAAGTCAGGGAAACTAAACTCAGTCTTCAGCTTCAGGCTTGGGAGCCAGTATCTGTATCTGCTGCACCATCTTGAGGGTTCCATTTCTGTGTTTTGATCAAACTAGTCAATGATGGAATCAAAGATTGCCTGTATCATTGGATTTGTTAGATCGGGTTTCTCCATTCTATTTTTCTCTGCAAAACTGTAAAAAGTGAATATTAGAATAGGATAAAGGCATGTAGTGTCTGCTTCAGGATCAGGCTGGGGCCAGTCCCCCTAGTTCTTCTACAGGTATAGAATGAATAAGGAACATCTATAAGCACAGCCGGAACCTTGTCCCCTTCAGAGATACCTTCTGAGAGGTCCTCTCGCCACAAGGCTGAAGACTCATACTACTTGTTCTTTTGTTGAAATATAAACTCTTTCTTTCTTTCTCTCTCTCTCTCTCTCTCTCTCTCTCTCTCTCTCTCTCTCTCTCTCTGTCTCTGTGTGTGTGTGCGCAAGCGTGTACATGAGGTCGGCCTCAGGTGTCTTTTTCAAGTGCTGTCCACCTTAATTATTTTATTGGCTGTTAATGATTCAGGCAGAATTTTGCGGGTCATGTGTAGGGGTCAGAGGACAGCATTCATTCTCAGGTCATCAGGATTTTGCCACGTGCACTTTCACCCACTGAATTGTTTTCAGCAGCTCTCCACAAAGGTCTCTTGCTTTCTGCTGTTTTGTTTGAATGGCTAGCCTGCAAGTCTCAGGGATTCTCTTTCTCTCTCTGCCTCTCTGGCACCAGGATGAAGGGCATGCACCACTATACTCTGCTCTTATGTGGTTGCTGGGAATCCAAACCCAGGACCTCAAGGTTGTACAGCAAGCACTTCGCCGACCAGAGCATCTCTCCAGCCCCAATTACATTTTCTTTTAATGATGCTAGAGATTGAACCAATGGCTTAGGGTGTGCTAGGCAAGCACCTACGTGGCCCCACTGCCGTCCCCAGTCTATTTATATCTGCTCAGTAAAGTTATGTTGCACTTTGGAAGTTCCTGGGCATTTCCTGTATTTTTTTTCTCGTGCATCCTGTGCACGCATCGCTGTCTGGGGCTGTGTCATTTCCAATGATAAGTTTTCATTTTCACACCGCTGCCGTATTTCTCTCTAGCGTAATAGATTCTGAAGCTCATTACTGATAATCTGCTGTCAGGAAATTATTCGTACTGACAAGTTCTTCAGAATGATATCAGGGTCTGGGGGATTCCAGGCAGAAAACCCATCGTAGATACTCATTCATGATTTGTTCTTTACTCTCATGTAGTTGGATGGTTTAAATCATACAAGATGTTCTGATCTTTAATACTACGATGGCTGAATAATTCTAAGTTACATTTATAATTCGCAGCTTCTGATCCAGGCCTTTTCCCACTGCGCTGAGGGCTTATGTGTCCCTGTTTCTTAGTATTTCAATATGTTTGTGATTAGGAGGCTTTGATAGTGTTACAATTTCTTTAGATTAAGTTAAAAATTTTGTGCATGAATTTCATACATGAGTACAATGTATTTTCATCAATACCTATCACCCTTTTCTACTTCTGGTTCCTTCTGTGTTCCCCCATTGCCTCTTTCAAAATTGATGTCTTTTTTAATCGTAATTATTGTTGGTATTCCTATATACTTTGTTGAGTCTCATTAGTATTACCTGTATATACTTGAGTGGAGAGCTGACCACTTGGGCTTATGCAAACTATCAGGGGGCTTTTCCCAGAAAAAAAGCCAGACCCTTCCTTGGTAGCCATCTACTGCTTGTAGCTCTTACTTTATGGGTGGGGTCTATGTGCCCTTCCCCCACCCATACTGGAATGTTGGCTGGTGTGGTCTTGTGTGGGCAAGCATATTGTCAGCAGTTCCTGGGTGCAGTATAGTGCCTCAAATTTTAGAAGAGAGTCTAAAACTTTATAGACTGCACAGACTGACTTTATTCCCAAAATCACATCTAGTTATGATAATTAAAACTAATAATAACATGGTCAAGTACGGTGCTTCAAGTCATTATTTTTTTTTCAACCCACTAAAGCATGAAGTACCTTCCTTTCTAGAGTCATTTGTTGAGACATCTGGTCGTGCGACTCTTTGGGGCATGCTTAGGGATGCTCAGAACCTCTTTTTGCTTTCTGGTTATTGTTGTTTTGTTTTGTTTTATGGGGGAGGGTAAGATTCAGATGAGCTTTCTGGATGTGCAAAATAAGGCATATTTGCTATACTTCAGCGGGTTCTGAATGGACTTGTGAATTGGGACAACAGGCAGGTAAGCGCGATTTTTGTTGATAAGCACTCATACTTCGGAGCCCTCACATGTTAGTTGACTTTAATCTTCAATGCCCAGTAAAGCAACTCCTTTTCAGGCTTCATCTTACAGATGAGGAGACTGGATAGCAAGGTGAAGTTGCCTGAGTGCTGTGTTGGAAGCAGGCTGAAGTCTCAGGTCCTGGATTGGTGCACTGACGTCATCAAGAATCCTGACCTCCCCTGTCCCCCACTTAGATTCCTCTTTCTTCTTTTCTCCCGACCCTTCTCTCTCTGTTACTGGACACATAATGGCATCTCCTTAGCAAGTGACAACACTTATTAGACTGTAGCTTGCCGGGCTCTGCTGTACCGGTTCCTAATCCTAACTGTTTGGGCATTTGAGAGAGGGAGATTGTGAGCTCGAAGTCAGCCTGGGTTACAGAGCACAAGACTACCCCAGGAACTTGGTGAGACCTTGTCCCCAAAAAATGTATATATGGGGATTATAGTTCATTGTGTGGGATGTGTGAGGCCCCAGGTTAAACCCCCAGTACAGAGTGAGCGAGGGAGGAGGGAGAGAGAACACAAGTGAGTCTATACAGCTCTCTCCTGAGAAAACTAGCCTGTCTGATAAAGGGGCAGAACGTTAGTCTGGTGACTTCAGGGCCTTCCCCTTTGCTACTTAATTCTGCCCACACTGTGCGTCTGTCCACTCTGTGCCCCTGTCCACTCTGCCTCTGCCCACTCTGCCCACTCTGTGTCTCTGTCCACTCTGTCTACTCTGTGCCTCTGTCCACTCTGTCCACTCTGTGTCTCTGTCCACTCTGTGCCTCTGTCTACTCTGTGCCTCTGTCCACTCTGTCCACTCTGCCCATTCTGTGTCTCTGTCTACTCCGTCCACTTTGGCTTCCTGCTGTGTCCACTCTGTCCACTCTGGCCTCCTGCTGTGTCCACTCTATCCACTCCATCCACTTTGTGCCTCCTGCTGTGTCCACTCTGTCCACTCTGTGCCTCTGTCCACTCTGTGTCTCTGTCTACTCCGTCCACTCTGCCTCCTGCTGTGTCCACTCTGTCCACTCCGTCCACTCTGTGGCTCCATCTGCTATGTCCACTCCGGCTGATTCACCTCCTTGCAATGGTAATTCTTCCATGCGATAATCCCAGCTGGGACTGAAGCGAATAGTTTTTTTCTTTCTTTCACTTTTGACTTTTCCTAAGGAAAGCTCAAATCTTAGCAGGGATCAATAAGTCAGATGTGAAGCCTGTTCTGAAATAAGATAAAAGGACACACCCTTCCCAAAACAAAGAGCTTGTATGCCTGAAGTAAGTGCAGTTGAACACATCATCCAGGAACCTCGGGTCTCCCCAGCACGCAGAGCCTCCCAGCAGCAACCTAAGGCCCATGGAATGAAGCCCACCGAAATTTGACGGCTGGGCTTCTGAGTGTCTTCACTCAGAATAAAAGAGAGCAGAGCAATGTGGGGACCCCATAATAAGCAGGTTCTGCGACGTGGTTTGTGCAGGCCTGTTCAATATAATTTCCCAATGGAGCCTGTGGTATTGTACATGCAGCCAAGGCCAGCCTCTGAGTAAAAAGAAGGAAGCTGAGCACATGGGCTTGAGTTTTCCCAAATTATAAAATAATCATAGGGCCAGAAAGATGGCTCAGGCGGAAGAGCCCTTGGCTTTCAAGCACGAGGACATGGGATGAAGACCCAGAGACATGGGAAAAAAGCCAGTGTGCTTGTCACCCGGTAATCCCTCGGGCCTGCTGACCAGCCACACTGTCGTAATTGGTGAGCTAGTGAGAGACCCTGCCTGAAAAACAAGATGGACGGCTCTTGGTGAGTGACAGTTGACACTAGCCTCTGCCCGGTTGCAGACATGTTAACACAGGCAAACAGACATATACATGTGTGCACGCAAAGATTGTATGTGTGTCTGAAATATACCTCTCTTCGTCTGTATTGTCTGTGTGTTAAGAGACAGGGCTAATTATGGGATCGTGCTTTGCTTGCTTGAATGTAGTCGTCCTGCCTCAGCCACCTGAGTGCAGTGCCTGGCTCTCACCAGGAACACATCAAAGAAGCAGGTCTCCTCTATTGGGGAGAGCATGAGTCAACACGCAGAAAAACCCAGGGCTTGCTTTTCATTCTGAGAATCAGTTCTCGTGGGTGGACGTTAAAGCCCACACCGCCCATTGCCCCTTCGAACTCCAGGCTGCAATTGTGTGTTCAGTCAGATCCACGGCGGACTGGCAGCTGTAGTTCCTGCCTGAGTTACTTAGAGTGCGGTTCGCAGTCGCAATATTTCCTCTCCTGGTGGATGGAGGAGCGACCAGGATCTGGAGATGATTTAGTGCTTTCTTCCTATCTCTGTTTTCACATTTCAAAACTTACCTAGCATGTGAGAGATGGTCTTTGGTACAGTTTGGTTTGTGCGGAATCTGCCAGGTCTCAGAGCCCAGTATCGTGGCAGTTACAGTAAGGCTTTAATATCCCGCCTCGCGAAGTCAGGCTCCCTCCAGTTTGTAACGTGAGCTGTTCTCAGACTTTATTAAGAAAAGGATGCATGCAACACTTGTTTATTATATTTTTGTTCTAAAGTCACTTGTGTTCCAGCTTTTCATAAGACATTCTCTGTATGTTTATTCTGGAATATTCTGGTCCCACAGATAGCTTTCTGTTAAAAAAAAAACAAAAGCGAAACGAAACTGGACTGCTGTTTAATGAATATGCCTGCTTTCTTTGTGAGGTGTGAAATGCTCATAGTAGCTTTTCATAGTGGGTTTTCATGACGTCATGGGGAAATGTCTCCACCAGCTCATTTATGGCGGAGGGGACTGTCAGAGTCTCCTTGGTCTAATGCTTGCGGGTTGAAAAGGTTTATGGATCAGCTGTAAATATTTTCTCTGGCTTTATGAGATCTCTCATAAACAGGGTGTATGTTTACCTATTGCTCACTGGACGTGCCTTTAGAACATCGACTGTCTGGGACACAGGCCCGGGGAGGGGCTGCGTGTGGCAGATTTTAACAGGCTGTGTTATGGCTGAACCTAAGTTTTGTATACGGCTTTATTGTTCCAACAGCAAGGCTATTGTTATTGTCCAGTGCTGGACATACAATATTTGTGTTTTGGGTCTGATGCATGATTTACTTTTCTGTAGTGTTTTTGTTTGTCAGAACGACTGCATTCTGACTGTTAGCTTCTGTGTGTCTCAGATGTTCCAAGTCCTGTATCTTACTTGCTTAGGTTGGGGCTTGGGACCTAGAAACTTTTGAGAGGCATGGATGTGTTCTCTTGGGTGTTTGATTGTGTTCTCTTAAGTGTCTTTATGGTATATACTCCAGAGGCAGTTTAAGGTACTTAGATGGCAACATTTAAGGTCGTTACCTTCCAAGAGCTTCTTTAACTGGGCCTGGTGGTGCAGGAATATGCCATTTCAGCTTCTTGGGATGCTGAGGCAGGAGGATCGCAAATTTAAGGCCTGGTGTGGGCTGCAGGGTGAGTAGTGAGAATTTGTTTTAAAAAGTAATTTTAGCATTTTCTGATTACAAAAAAAGTAATATTAGCATTTTCTCTTTATAAAATAAAGTACCATTTTCTATTCATTTCCTGGACTATGTAGAGTATAACAAGACAATACCTTTTCTTTCTGATAACTGAAAACATTGTTAGTAGAAAAAAAGGCATCATAACCTCTAAAGAAAACCTTTCTTTCTACAAACCTCCTGGTCCTAATCCCTCCGTGCCACCCGAGTGCATATAGCACTTCAGGGAGGACCACACGCCCGAGACAGCACTTCCTCTTTACCAGTGGAATTGGATTTGGTTTGTGAAAGATGTGTGGTTGAAGGTCAGCATCTTTTGAGCATTTTTGTAAGACAAGAGAAGCGGACATTTGGAGCGCTCCCTTTAGGTCCCCGCACCAGCACTGCATTTTCTTTACGGTAGCCTCGCGGATGGGTGGAGTCATGCCAACTGCACAGTGGTGACTCTTTCTTGTCGTTGCCGATGGAAAGGTTTGGATTTGGCTCACAGTGTGACTGTGTGATCGGTCATGGTGACAGTCACCTTGAGGTGACTGGTCACATTGTACCCTCAATCAGGAAGAAAGGAGAGATGAATGCTCATTTCCTCCTTTTTATCCAGGCTAAGGCTCCAGTTCATAAAAGGTGCCAACCACATATAGGGTGAAGTGTCCCCCTTCCGGTAATCCAATCTGGGAACTCCTTCATTGGCACCCAGAGCTTTGTCTCCTGGGCGATTCCGGATACAGTCCAAGCAAACCGTGACATTATCATAGACTGCTTAACCCTAACCATTTGAAGTTATAATGTGACGTTTATGCTGTCTTTATCTTACAGTGTATTATTTGATGCTTCTCAGTTATTTAATGTTTTGGCAATTTCTTTTCAGATTCCAGGCAAGTAGCACTATGTAGCTTTAGAACACTTATGACCCTGACTCTCTCTGTCTCTGTCTCTTTTGTATATGAATGTACTTTAAGAAGACAGAAAACAACTCTCAGGAGTCTGTTTTTTTCTTTTCTTCAAGTGGATTCCAGGGGTTGAACTTTGGCCTCCATCTTTGGCAGCAAGCCTCTATGCCTTCTAAGCCATTCTGTCTTGAAGGCCATTGTATGCTATGGTTGTTCTTGTCCTTCCCCTTGTGGGTTGAGAAGCCCATATTCTATTGACTTCTGTTGGTGTGACACACCCTCTTGTTGAAGGCTTGGTGTGAGAACTCTTATATTGCAGGAGATGGGGTTCTTTGGGAGGTAAGCATGTCACCACAGATGACATGGGGTCTGTCAGGCACCTGGTCTGTTCTGTTGGTAACTTGCTTGGTGGCATTAGGATGCTCAGGTACTTTGCACATGTACTTTTTGTTTGTGTGTGTGTGTGTGTGTATCTGCTTCTTATCACGTGCACAGGAGCATTTGTGGAGGCCAGAGAGGGCGGTGGGTCCCCTGAAGCTGGAATTGCTGGTGTTTGTAAGCTGCCCGATGTGGGTGCTTAGGAACTGGACTTAGGACCTCCGCAAGAGCAGCAGGTTCTCTTAACCACTGAGCCCTCTTCCCAGCCCACTTTATTTCTCTTAAGATGTTACTGAAGCCACAGTTTTTATAAAATTCTGTTATTTTCCAGTCTCCAGCCTTGGTGGGTAGGTAGTTTGGTGCCTGTGTCTATCTTGGCACACACTTTGTGTTTGAAGTGTCTCTTTCCATTTCTTCCAGCCTTTCCAAACTGGGCTGTCTACCATGGCTAATGTTAGGCTAATCCGTGTTAGCTTTAAGACAACTCTTATCCATTTGACTTGAAAGCACAAATGTTGCTTTTAATTTTGACAAGGTATCAAAGTGTTGTCTCTTCTGGTCTCTCCGTCTCTGTTTCTGTCTCTCTGTATTTCTGTCTCTGTCTTTATCTCTGAGTCTTTCTGTAAGTCTGACATCAATGCTGGCCATCACTATGCATTTGTCTTTACTTACTTGCTTAGGCAGACCTTTTCATTGACTGGAGCTCACTGACTTAGCTGGCCTGGATGGATAGTGAGCCCCAGGGAGCCTCCTGTCTGTCTCCCTTTGATTACATTTATGTGAGTGTTAGCCAGCATGGCTTTTCTATGAAGTTTCTGGATATCTGAACTCAGGTCTCATCCTTGGACAGCCAGCAGTGTACCAAAGGAGCCACCTCCCCAGTTCCCCTTTCCCTCTTTAGACTCAGCATTTCTCTTTAGACAGCCAGCAGTGTACCAAAGGAGCCACCTCCCCAGCTCCCCTTTCCCTCCTTAAACTCAGCATTTTTCCAGCAGCAAACTGAGTTCTTTAGAGAGTTCAGCCACGTCCTTTAAAGGCAATGAATCAGTCTGTGTCTCCCAGACATGCTTTGCCCTGGTTTTGACATTCTTGCTTTGTTTGGTTTCCACAGAGGAAGGTTCTGGCCTGGAGGAAAACGGCTTCAGCTGGGGAGACTATCTGGAAGAAACAGGCACCAGGGCGGCGCCACACTCATCCTTCCGGCATGTATGTTCAGCACTGCACGCCCTTCATGTCTGTGGGAGGGAAGGTGAAGGATCTGTTGGGTGATTCAGGAGCCAGTCAGAAGAGAAGAATGAAGAGGAAAAGCAGATAAGATTTTACTGGAGGAAGGCGATATGGGCTAGCCGCACAAAGAACAGGCCGCAGCTGGATTCTTAGAAGCCAGCGAGCTAGGCAAGAGGTTACATTCATGTCTTCTTAGTAGGTGTAGTGACTGTGCATTTTTTTTAATAATGAGGTGACATTTGGGGCTGGGGCTTAGCTCAGTTGACAGAGTGCTTTCCGACTAGCATGAAACCCTGGGTTTGATCCCCAGCACAGCCTAAAATGGGATGTTGTGGTGCATATGTGTAATTCCAGCCCTGGGTGGGTGGCGGCAGGAGGATTAGAGTTCAATCTCAGGCTATATAGGCATCTCGAGGTGAGCCTGAGCTACTTGAGATTCTTTTTTATTTTTTAAATATATATACATATATATATTTATTATGTATGCAATATTCTGTCTGTGTGTATGCCTGCAGGCCAGCAGAGGGCACCAGACCCCATTACAGATGGTTGTGAGCCACCATGGTGTTGCTGGGAATTGAATTTAGGACCTTTGGAAGAGCAGGCAATGCTCTTAACCTCTGAGCCATCTCTCCAGCCCGAGATTCTTTTTTTAAAAGTTGATATTTTTGTTCTGAAAAGCCACATTAGAGTTTTCGAGGCTTTGGAGGAACGATAAATCGGGTGGGAGGAATCACGACAGATATTCTGAAAATGTCTCACAAAAGTCATTCTCCTTAATAATATCTGTTTGTATAATTTGGCTAGCATGTCCACCGGCAGACAGACAGCAGGAAAAAGGAACACGAGTTCTTGGCAGATTATTCTTAGGTGCGAGCTCTTGTTTCTATAGCTCTAACGTGGAGAAGATGATGTTCTCCAAACCCAAGCTCTTATGCCTGGCAATTGTTTCAGCAAATTAAATTTTACTTTGGAGAGACCTGTTTTCTTATCACGCGACCCCAGCAGCAGCTCTACCTTCTTAAGCTTCTTTTTGGCTCCTTAGCTGAAATAAGAGAGCCACACCAAGTTCTTCTCGGAAATGAAGTGTTCTTTTTTATTAAATTTGTAAGATTGCACCCCTCTTTCCTTCCCTGTGCTCCTCAAGCTATGGTTTAGTGTGATCATAGTTGTAGCCACGTAGTGACGCCAAGGGCTACTTTTTCAAGCACAGCCGAAGCAATGCCCCTCTGGCTTATACTGTTAGGATCATGACCCCCCCAGAAGCCACGATGACAAGATACTGCGATGGCCTGGTGATTTCCTTAAGGCAGTTTGGGATAGAAAGATGAGTGGCCGACAACTTCCCCCCTTTTTATCTGCACGGTGAAGTCATGTCTTCAGGAATGAGTCACCGCCAGTCTCTTGACTCATCACTTCTCTCGTGTCCTTTTTAGTTAAAGTAGATGCCACCCAATGGTGAAGGCCTTGATGAACATGGGCTCATTCTTCAGGATGCCTGTACTCCTGAAGGCTGATGCAGGCATCTACCCTTCCAGGTGTAGACGGTCCTGTGGGCAAGACTGAGAGGAAAGGTAGCCTCAGTCTCACAGATCACAGTTCATGGTTCCATTGCTTTCTTGGCTGGGGAATGCTAAGACCTCCAGGCTGCAAAGATTTTTTTATTTTTGTTTTCCATCCCAGTGGTGGCTCCTGGAACACAGAAAAATTGAATTACTTGGAGAGTATGTAGCTGTGATTGAGATATGTTGCTCATTGAACTCAGGATCTTGGGAGCCTTTGTTAAAAAACACTAGCTTTCACTTTTTTTCTTTTTAAATATGGGTCCCATGTAGCCCAGTCTAGTCTCAAACTTTTCGTGTAGCCAAGAATCACTTTGAACTTCTGATCCATCTGCCTCCACCTGCCTGATTTTTTTTACTTTCTCTTTTTTTTCTCTCCCTCTCCTTCCCTCCTTCTCCCTCCCTCCCTCCCTCCCTCCCTCCCTCTCTCCTCCCTCCCTCCCACTTTCCCTTTTCCTTTTCCCCTCATCCCCCCCCTCTTTCTTTTTCAATGGTGTAGTGCTGGGGCTCAAACTCAGAACTTCTGCATGATGGGCAAGCATCCTGCCAACTGAGCAACATTTTCATTCCCCTTGGTGTTTTTGAGACAGAGTCTATTTGTGTAACCAGGTTTTACACAATTTAGGGTATTTGTGCCTTCGCCTCTAGACAGTTGGAATGATGGGTGTGTACCACCATTCCTGGCTCATTCACTTTTTGTAATATTGGTTTCGTACTGAAATGACCAACTGTTGAATTTAATGGGTGAAACAAAATTTGTCATGAAAATCCACTTTATCTTTCCTTTGAATGTGGCAGAGGACTTAGCCTTGCATTGGAGGCTCATGTTCCATTTGCCTTAAATGCATGCCTATGTTAGGGCAGCAGAAGTACTGTTTTAAAATGCCATCTGCTTGACTAGTTCTTAAAATCCTTTGAGGCACATGGCTAGTGTGATTATGGTTTTCTTGTGTTTCCGATATCTCAAGGTGGAGATCAGCATTCAGAGTAACTTCCAGCCGGGAATGAAGTTGGAGGTGGCCAATAAGAACAATCCAGATACTTACTGGGTGGCCACGATCATCACCACCTGTGGACAGCTGCTGCTTCTGCGTTACTGTGGTTATGGGGAAGACCGAAGGGCTGACTTCTGGTGTGATGTGATCATAGCAGATCTACACCCTGTGGGGTGGTGCACACAGAACAACAAGGTGTTGATGCCCCCGGATGGTGAGCTCACATACCGAAGGCTTTGATATCAAAGAGGTTGCTCTTCATGATTCCTGTCCTTGCTGAAGGGACAGAGAGAATCATCTAGAAAATTGTGAATCTGTTTAGTGCAAAAGTTTCTCAGTTCTTTAAAACATCTGGGCATTATTATCTAATGGATGCTGTGGGGTGGGTGGTGTGGATTCTGTGGGGTAGGTGGTGGTTTACTATCTTGTGGATGCTGTGGGGTGGGTGGTGGTTTACTATCTTGTGGATGCTGTTGGGTGGGTGGTGTGGATGCTGTTGGGTGGGTGGTAGTTTACTATCTTGTGGATGCTGTTGGGTGGGTGGTGTGGATGCTGTGGGGTGGGTGGTGGTTTACTATCTTGTGGATGCTGTGGGATAGGTGGTGGTTTACTATCTTGTGGATGCTGTGGGGTAGGTGGTGGTGGGACTTTGTTTACTAGAAATGGTATTGATCTTCAATCAGTTGGATCATATAGGAAGAAAAAGGTTCAAGACCAATTCTCAGGTTGTCTTTGGATGGTAGGAGATAAAGTTAAGCTGGATGTGTGTGTGTTTGTTGTGTGTGTTTGTGTGTGTGTGTGTGTGTGTGTGTGTGTGTGTGTGAGAGAGAGAGAGAGAGAGAGAGAGAGAGAGAGAGAGAGAGAGAGAGAGAGAGAGAGAGAGAGAGAGAGAGAGAGAGAGAGAGAGAGAGAGAGCGCTACTCTTTGGGGATTAGGTGTCTTGCTTTTGAACAAACTTTTTTTTGTTAAAAATTAACTTATTTTGAACTATGTGTATATGTGAGTATCTCTGTGTAGCTGAGTGCACATGATTTTAGGAGCCCAGAAGAGGGCAATGGATCCCCTGGAGCTGGAGTTGCAGGTGATTGGGTTGTGAGCCACTTGACTTGGGTGCTGGGAACCGAGCTTGGGTTTTTCACTATAGCAGTACATGGTCCAAACCACTGTGCTGCTTCTTCAATCCCCCTACATTGATTTTTTTTCCCCATAAGTTTGCCTGTTTGCTTTCTTTTCTCTTCCTGTCCCTTGCTTTTGACAAGGTCTTATGTAGCCCAGACTGATGACCTTGCCTCTGATCTTTCTGCTTTGACTTTCTCAGAGCTAAGATTATAGACATTTTTCACTACTGCCCCACTTACACCATGCTGGGGATTGAACCCAGGGCTTCCTGCATGTCCGGCAAACACTCTACCAACTGAGCCACATCCCTAGCCCTGCACTTAGTTTTTGACCTTTCTTACTGTGGGCAGACTGAGGCTATGGGACAGGAAGAAAGCTAAACTGATGAGAACTGAGATCACTCAAAGCAGTGGTACGGGCTCATATAGACATGAGATCAGTTTAGTCCCCGCAAGACAATGGTTCCCCGTTGGGGCAGGTTTTCTCCCCGGAGACATCTGGCAATGTCTGGAAGTACTCTTTTGGCCCTGATGGAAGGAGATGCCACCAACACCTAGTGAGACCAAACCAGACCCTGCACCTCCTCCAATGCACGGGACATCTGCACAATTAAGTATTACCAAGTTCAGTCTCCCTGAAGTGCTGAAGTTGAGGGCTCCTGCTGGGGAGGAAGGCATTGAAGAAGCTCCTATGGGTCTGTGAGAGCTGAGTTCAATCAAGTATTTGACTCTGATCTCTGTTGTATTGTGTGGTTATAACATCAGTGGTACCCAATGGCTTTGATGCTGTGTCCCAAGGGTATTTCGAGATCTTTGTACCCAGATGGCTGCCCTTTCTTTGGAGTAATCTCTTTCCCTCTCCTTCTCCATCTTTCTTCCCTTCCCTCTCTCCCATCTCCTTTCCCTTCTCCCTGTCCTTTTCCTTCTCTCTCCCTCTCACTTTTCTTCTTCTCTTCTATCTCCTGTATCCTTTGCTCCCCACCCCAACCTCCGGTATGATTTTTTTCTGATATAGAAGAATGATCTGTGGCTTTTATTTCATCCCTTTGTTATGCATAATTGATGGCTTGCTTAAGAGGGGCCATCCAATTGGCTGAGGCTTAAGAGCTGCTTTTCTGTGACATTTGTCGGGGTTGAATCCATTGCCTTGACCTCAGTTGACATCATGACCCCTTATTGTCTCGGAAGAAAGAGAGAGGGCATCCTTTTGGATCTTTGTGTCTGTTCTGTCCTATGCCTGGAACTACTTGCCTCCTTTCTCCTCTTTCCCCACTGGTCCCTGAGGTCAGAACTGATCTGTGCTCACAAACACGTCTGTTGGGACCTTGGTGTCGCTCACATCTCAATTATGTGTGTGTGTTTAATGTAACTTAATTGATTAATTAATGTTGCAAGGACTTTGAAAATATTAAGCAAATGCTCTACTACTGAGCTGTGCCCTGGCCCTGTATAATTATAAAACATAATTCATGTATTGTAAACATCTGTCTAAGTTCAGTGATTTTTTTTAAACTATATTCACAAGATTCTTCAAGCAGTGTTACTATCAAGGCCTGGGATGTTTTTTATCTCTCTAAAGTTATTCTTCATTCTCATCTACTATCAATCTGCTTTTTTTAAAAATACAAAACAAATCACATTTTAAAATTTTATTTGTATGTGTGTGTTTGTATGAGTGTATGCAAGTGCACACACATGTATATGTGCGGAGATCAGAGGACAACATACAGGAGTCAGTTCTCCCTACGTGGCTGGCAGGTTTGGCAGCAGGCAGCTTTGTCCACTGGAGCATTTTGCTTCCTCTCCCCAACCTGGTGGTTGCACTTTACAATAGCTGCTTTGTGACCCCCATCTCCAGAGCTCTTGCGTTCCAATGTTAGTGCTCTAAGAGCTCCTGGGTTCACTTGGGACAGTCCTTGCTGTCCCTGGGGAGATAAGGCATAGTCGATTCATCAGATCCCCTCTCTCACTTGGAAGAAAAATATGGCAGTTGTCAAAGTCTCAGAAACACCATCAAATTTGTATCCGGTAGACTCTGTGCTATTAGCCAAGACAGAGATGCCTTTAAAATGACAAGATGAAAATGAAAAATGGAGAAAAACTTAGAAAAAGGGAGCCCATTAATTTGATGGAAAGATGAGAAATCTTTTCAGACAACAGCGAGCTATGTTAGCTTGAGGTTTTCTTCAGTGCTGTCTTGTAAAGAACTTAAAAAAATTTACTATGTAATCAATATGACTTGGGAATCTTTAGTTTGGAGAACAAAGTCAGGAAATAGCATGTTCATGGGGCAAGAGGTTTTATTGATTTCTGTGGGGGAGGAGTAATAACCAGAGGCCGCGGTTGTTCTACAGGGACTGGGGGAATCTGTGTTTTGAATGGGGATTTTTATTGTATGGTTTTCTTAGTGAGTTAATACTATAAATGCTGCAACTGTGCCTGGGTGATCTTTATCTTTGTTGTAGTTGAATTTAAAGGGCATTGCAAAATATGAAATAGCAGTCCAGGACCCTAATGTTTCTGTCTGAGAGGCTCCATGGTGATGTGGAGCTTGTACATACACATGAGGTATGTGTGTGTGTGCATGTGTGTGTGCGTGTGCGTGTGTGTGTGTGTGTGTGTGTGTGTACTACAGGACAAGCTTGGCTGTCTTGCCTTAGGTCTATCCACTGTGTTGTTTTTTTATTAGTCAGGGTCTCTAGTTGGCCTTGGGCTCTTTGATTAGGCTAGGCTGGTTCAGGGAGCCCAGGGGAACTGCTTTCACCAATACTGGGATGACCAGCCCATGCTGCAAGGACTGGGTTCTGGAGATCTGGTTTATTTGTTGAGCTATCAAAGCAAGAACTTTACTGACAGCTATCACTTCAGCCCAACTAAGGCTTTTTACAGGTACCATGAATCAAAGTGAAGAAGGGGCATTGCAGTGGACTAGAGATCTGAGCTCTTAGGAGAATCCACCACTAACTTGGCTCCGAGTCCCTTCAGCCCTCTCCAGCAGTCTATCTTTGAAGTGAGGGTTTCTGTATTGTAATCTCAGGGAGCTATCTGGTCCATCCTTCCTGCATTTGTGATTCCAGTTAAAGGAGGAAAGTGTGATTGCTTACTTTTCTCTTTTATGAATGCTGTATGGAGTTTGTTTTAGAATTAGGATCCATGCATGTTGGCTTCGGAATCTATGAAAAGCACAGGAAAAAAAATGCCTGTGTCTCTGTTGGACGATGGTTTTATTTCCATTGCTGTGATGAGATCCCCTAGCAGAAGCCACGTGGAGAAGAGAGGGTTGATTTGGTTCCCAATTCCAGGGTGCAATCTGTTGCGGATGGCGAAGTCAATGCAGGGACTGAAAACGTCACACCCAGTCAAGAGCAGTGAGAGAATTAACGCTTCCTCGCCTGCTCCCAATACCTGTACACAGTCCAGGGTCCATCAAGTGAGATGAAGCCACTCACATTCAGCGTGGCTCTTCCTACCTCAGCACCAGGATTAGTCCCCACAGACATGTCTGCAGACCAACCTGATCTAGACAATTCCTCAATCAACTCTCACCTTAGGTGATTTGAGATGGGGCATGTTAACAATTAAAACCTAACAACCATGCATGTCTAGGATAGAATACTCTTGTGACTGCCTGGGTAGAGTGTCCTTTGATCAATAATTAGGGAGTTTAGTTCCCCTTTTCAATCTAGAGAACTAAGAGTTTCTAATTCTGCAATGAGTGATCGGGGAACCAGTGATAGCTTGGAGTACATGGGTTTTTGCCTACTGTTTCGTGGAGAGAGAAAAAGGAGGTCCCTCCTCAGGCTGAAGTTACTGGGTTCAAGGTCTTTTCATTATCTAAAGTTGTCTCTGCATCAATGAGAGAGCAACTCGATTGATTCATTGTTTGATGCAAGGTATTTATGGGGTGCTAGCGACTGAACCCAGGGCTTTGTGCTAAGCAAACACTATACCAACTGTGCTGCATCCCCGAATCCAGATTTTATTATTTTAGATGCCGTTTTGATGGGGCCCAAAGACTGTGTTTTCCTGCTGCACTCTTTTAGCTAGAGCTTTGGATGAATGTAGGACTTCATAAATATGGTAAATGTTAGGAGGG